GGTCAATATGAAGAGGCGATTTAATGCTTTGAAAACACTTTGAATATTTATGACTTTTTTATTTTTTTAGCTAATAAATTGATCAATATTTTTATAATTAAACTATTCGGTTAAAAAAAATGAACGATGAATCACCTAATAGATCAAAAAGCATTGAAATCAATCTAACAAAGATGTTAGATCGAATGAAAAACAATTCATTTCATATGTAGAAAGTATGTGTTGGTGATTTAATCAATAAAAGTCAAACTCATGTAATTGCTAAACCAATAAGGCAATAAATGACTCCGACACCTGAAGAAAAAGAGAATAAAGAACTTACATTTAAACCATAAATTAATGTATTATTATATTCTAAGAAGAAATATCCCAATTATTTAAATCAAACATCCTTTTTAGAGAGAAATGAATAATGGCAAAAAAATAAATTACAAAAGCAATAAGAAACAAGCAAAACTTATTTAGAGGAAAAAGAAAAGATTATCAATAAAGAGTGCTCTTTTAAACCCAAAATCACTCCTCATCAATCTGCCAGACTACCAAGGCAGTAGAAACAATAACCTCAACCAAGCACAAATTCTATCAAGTAATAACCAGTAATACCCAATATAACAATGTAAGCCTTGTAATATGAACTAAGAAAATAGTTGCATGGGTTATAATTATGAGAAAGATTAATTAATTATAAATTTTCATTTTATTGTTTATGACTGAACAACATTATAACTAATAATATAACATAATTATCTATAAATTGTAAATCTATTATTGAGTTAGTTTCAATTAATATTGAGTCTCTATTTCAATATTCTAAATAATTATATAAAAAAACAAGATATAAGTTATTTAGCATAAAAAATGGAATAATTTGGAAATTATATGAAATTAGTTGAATATTATTACGCAATACTTGATATATTATTATGAAATGCCTCCTTTTAATAACTCATTTAAAATCTATTTTAATAATAAATTATTTTGAGTTTGAAGTAGTGGTTTTGATAAGTTTAAAGTATTATTATTATTATTATTATTTTGTTAAGATCTATTTCTTTTTGATTTACCAAGAAATATTTTTTTTATTAATATTTTATCACTACAAATTAATGTAATTTTAAATAAGATTAAAGTAAAAGTTTTAATAATTAAAATATTCATTATATCAGAAGCTGAAATACTTTATCAGATTTACTGTTTTATAGTTTTATTAGAATTATTGTAAAGATTAAATTTCTCATTCTAAACACATTTACAATACCCTTCTTTTTTGATACTAATAATTTAGAAATTCTTAATTTTATTACATTGATTCTATTCTTTATTTCTAAATGTTTACTATAATAATCATTATCTTCATAAATTAATTCCAATTAAATACAATCAAAGTTAAAGTCAAGACAACATAAACTATTTTAATAATTCTTACTGATTGAAGGTATTCTTTAAAACAACTCTCTAATAACTATTTTAATCAAATCAGAAGGGCTCTGTTACATTAAATAAAAAAATCACGCAATTCTCTTCTAAGAAATTTCCATTCTATATTTCTTCGAAATTCTTTTTATTTTCTTATGTTAAGATGTTTAATCATATTAATTGAGCTTATAAGGTTTGAGAATAGCTTAAAATAGAACTTTTGAGTTGCAATAAAAGAATTTATATGAGCATTATAAAATTAATTAATTCATTTTTTTTCTTTTTCCAAACATTATAATAAGTCATTATATAAGTAGTTAATGGCATATTTAATTTGTTCTTCATCAGATTCTCTATCATCATCAGATTTCTTCATTTATTATAAACTTATATTTACATGTTTTTATAGGATAGATTAGTATTCTTAAGGAATATTTAAATCTTTGTCATCATAGCAGATAAATTACCTTTAAGATTTGTGTTTTTTCAAATTAATCATTGTCTTCATATTACTATGATCAATACCTGTTTAGGTTTCTTATGGATTGGTCCTCTTCTTCTAATTGGTGTTTATGCTGCACTAGGAAATGGGTACTCGCTCATAGATACATTCTATTTTATAGTGTATAAATAATATATATATAGGAAGAGATATTTATGAGAATTTTGTGGTGAATACCTCTTAACAAGTGACAGACAAGTCTTCTCTCTGTTTTTGTCTATCAGAATTCCTAGTTTTCATTTTATTAAATATTTTATTCTATAGATCACTATTATAGTTTGTACAACAATCATAATAATAATATTAAATATTCATTTTACATTGTTTTGTAAAAAATATCCTTTTTCTTATTCTATTCATTAACTTATTTTTGTTTACCTGCTAATAAAAAAACAATGCATAGATGTATTCAAATGCATTTCTCTATGCAGACAATGAAAACCTTTAATAGAACAATTAGTATGAAAAAATTATCCAATTATTTAATATAAAATAAATTATATTTCTAAAATAGAATATCAATAAACAAACATAATTCCAATTAGGAAATTCAATTATCATCATCATGATGGAAATGGGAAATTCTTCTGCTAAACCATATATATCATTTAAAAATCTTGTATTTAAAATATTTATTTTTTATAAAACACATAATTCTTTATTTTAAGGTAGAAATTCAAAGGACCTAAATTAGTGAATTCTAGTGTAATATATAATTAGTGAAAATAATTACAATTATTTAACAGACTCACTATTAGAAAAATTTGGATCATATTCATTAGTTTTTAAATATCAGATCTAATTTCTTATTATGCAGCTCTATTTTTAGTTCTTTCATGATTTAATAAAATAAGTAGAATTCCATGTTGGTTCTTTCCTTCTTTTCATTTCCTCCTCATTTTTCTCTCAAGAGTTTAATGTTTGCAATTGGAGATGGTGCCTATAATCAATTTGAAACGATCTACTGATAATTTAGACGTCATTATTTCTTAAAAGCCTCTCAATTCCTTATGAAGTTTTTATTTCAATAATATCAATGAAATATTGTCTTATTATTCTAATTATTCTTTCTTAAAGCGATATTCATGTGTAAATTTAATATGCATATTGTTTTTCTCTATTTCTTTTTACAGTTTCTACTTTATTTTAAAGAGGTTGAGAAGTGATATTTAATATAATTATTGTTAAAATTTATTAAATTCAGACAGTTTATATGAAATGACATATGTTAATACTTTTTTATACTCCTTTTTTCAAATCCATAGAATGGAATTATATAAAAATTAATCAACACTGTTGAGAACACCTAACTTCCATGTTAAATTTATGATTAACAAACCTATTAATATTTTTTCAGTAAAATAAAATTTTTGGGGATATGAGAACATCCGTTGTTTTTATTATATTATTATTGGCTTTAGCAACCACAAAAAGAGTTGAAACACACAAGAAGGCTGAGACAAAGTATATTCAAGTAACAATATATTATATATAATCAACAGAAAGATGTGAAATAAAATGAAGAATTGTCTTATGGAACTTCCTTATTAACCCCAGAGGAATAAAAGAAAGCAGATGATGCTAAAAAGGCAGAAGAAGCAAAGAAGGCTGAAGAAGCAAAGAAAGCAGAAGAGGCAAAGAAAGCTGAAGAAGCAAAGAAAGCTGAAGAGGCTAAGAAAGCTGAAGAAGCCAAGAAAGCTGAAGAGGCAAAGAAGACTGAAGAAGCCAAGAAAGCTGAAGAAGCAAAGAAGGCTGAAGAGGCTAAGAAAGCTGAAGAAGCCAAAAAGGCAGAAGATGCTAAGAAAGCTGAAGAAGCAAAAAAGGCTGAAGATGCCAAGAAGGCTGAGGAAGCTAAGAAAAAGGAGGAAGAATTAAAAAAAAAATAAGAAGGAAAAACTCAGGGCACTAATAATGGAAATAATGGAGAGGAAGATGAGAAAGAGAGAAACAAAAGAGCTGAATATCAAGAATGTATCAAGGATGTATGTGCATAATATTTTAAAGATTGCAACGAAGAGTGTATTGACAGATTAAAAGGCTGTAAATAGAAGGCTATAAATGAGGGACTTGATGCTGTAAAATATGGTTTTAATTGTAGTATAATCAATGTGTAAAAAATAACGAAAAGGCCAATTCTTTAATAAAATGCATTAAGAGTAATTGTTAAGAGTGAAATTATCATAAAATAATATTTACATTTAGTATCTTTTTAAAATTATTCACATAATTGATTATGAAGTTTTATTAATAAGGATTATTTCTTTTTATTAATATTTTCTTTAGACTTATAAATTACAAAATTTAAGTTTTGAATATATATAGAGAGAATGATATTCTACATTACGATAAGTTAGATGATAATGAAATTATTGTATAATTATAAAATCATTAACTTACTAATCCAGCTGGCATAGAACTTGTGATTGTTGCTAAGGGTTAGAAGCCAAGCTCTTCTGGTGGAATACCAAATTCCACTAATTTTGCCTCATAGACTCTAATTGAATCATTGTATGCTTTAGTAGCATGATGAATCGAATATCTAAGGTTCTTGACTAATTAGTTTTTAGCTCTAAAAATAATAATATTATTAATTACTCAATAGATTCTTTGATTTTGATTGTTAATTATTAGTACATTTAGGGATCCATATTGGTTCTTTCTACTATAGTCTTTAATTAAACTTCCTAATAATTATTTCAAAGTATTTACTTTCTCTTCCAATCCGTCTTACATATTTTGTAATTATTAACCTAATACATTATTTTATAAATCTGTATGTTTTTTAACTTCCATAGCAATTCTTTCAAATTTTTCTTCCAATTCTTATTTTTCACGTAGTAATTTGTCATACTTAAAATTTAAATCATTGCTATTATGTTTTAATTCTGCATATTTCTCTGTTAAAGTAGTGTTTTTTGACTGTAAATTTTGTAGTGACATTTTATGCTAAAATAATAATGGGGAATATTACCTTAGAAAATTATTTAAGAGCATTTTTTAATATATCTCTTTCTTCAGTAGCTTATTTCAAGGGGATTCGAATATTATTGTTGGCGGCCTTCATGTCAGCTATGATTTTGCTATTTTTTTATAATTTGGCATTGATGCTAGCTATTTCTTCCTTTTAATTTTTAATCAGTTCTAAATTCTCTCTAGTGATAGTATTATAATATTGTTTAAGTTCAGCAAAGGCTGTTTCATGATTATTAATCAACTCGTTGATGTGTAGATTCTTTCTTTCTTCAAGTTCGTGGATTTCTACTTTTAATCTTAGTTCTAATTCTTCTTTAAGTTTTTGAAGTCTCATTTTATATTTCTCTTCCATATTTTGTAAAGTTTCATCAAAAACTTGTTTTGATTTATCAAGTGTTTTTTTATTGTTTTTTTCTTCCTTTTCAATAGCATGAATATATGAATTTTCATATTCCTCTTATAATTTTTTTAAATGTGTTTTTTATCTTTTCTATTCATCACTTCTCTTAGAAAAATGATCGTTTTCTAAATTATGCGCTTCCTTTCCATCTTTTTCGATTTCATCATTTGCTTTTTCTTATTCATACTCAAGATGTTTAACCTATCCTGATTGATAGTTATACTTTTTATAAATAGCTTTTTAATTGGATTCTATGAGTCTCCTCTAATTATTCGGCTTCAGTTTCTTTGTTCACTATTTTAATATTCAGCTCTTAGATTTCTTATAAGCAATTTGAGAAAAAATTTTGAACCATATCACGATCCATTTGGATATAATTTCTTTTTTGCTTTAATTCAGTTAACTTATCTCTGAATATTTGTAAATTCTATGTAAGCTCTTAAGCAGTCATCTTAGTAAATTCATCTTCTGGTTCTTGTGGTGCTTTCTTAGGTTTCGGCTTAGGAGGCATTAAGAATAATTAAATAAATATATAATTTATAAAATTTGTAATTGAGTATTATATCATTTGATAAATAGGTAACGTTTTACCAGTACCTTACTTATTTAATTGATTTCTTAATAATATTTTTATGTTGTTCATCATCTAAATAGTTTTAAAAATAATTATGAGTAATAAATCAAACATAGTAATCTAAAGGTTAAAATGAACTCATAGGAGTACATCTATTATGTTATGAGATTATGTTTGATTCGACATTAATTATCTACATAAAATCAGGAAAATAATAAAATGATCATCATAAATAAACTTTAAAAAAAAATAAATTTTCTATTTTTATGAACCCAATTTGCTCAAATGGCTATGATTACAATAATTTCAAAACAAACAATGGATATCCCTAAATATTAACAAATCATATATCTCCAATAAAGAATATCTTAGCACCAAGCAGATAGGAAATATTAATAGATATTCTACAAAGCAAGTTTAATGGATTCATTAAAGATGTTGAGCTAGCCAAATAAAAAATTATCAAGGTTATTAAAGACTGTTCAGAAAATAATATATTTACTATACAAGACAAACCAATTAATTTTGATGACTACATGAATTTTATAGAAATCAACACCAAAAGCTATATAAATGAGATTAAAAATCATCACAAACTGACTATAAACTTAATAACCTAGGAGAGCTCTGAAATAACACATTAATCATCATCTTTTGATATGTAACAAATGTGTGATAAATGCTAAGTGATGGTTGAAAAAGACTTAGTTTAGTTGGATTGCTTTCATTGTTATCATTAAAAATGTGTAGGGGATTATATCAAAATATAGATTAACAATAATTGCAAAACATTGAGATGCCTTAATTGTCAATAAAAAATAAAAAGCTCAATTCTCAGAAAATTTGTTCCATTTTAGTAAATAGATAAAATGTTTAAAGAATAATTAAAATCAATAAAAAATAGTTTCTTACCAAATCAAATCTTTAGCTGCAAGAAGCCTGGGTGTAATTATTTTTGCATTAGGCTTCATGGAACTAAGGGACCAGTTAGATGTCAAATATGCGAAAGCCTTATAAATAACTGAATATATATATATAACTAAATCATATCAAGCATTTGTTAATTCAACAGCTAATTCACTTCTTCTATCTATTAACACATTAATGTCTAAGACGTTTGCAGCCCTATAATTGAATTGCTACCTCTGTTTATAATACAGAATATAATAAATAGCAATTGGAGATATCATTAGCGTTAGCACTTTCATAATAAATATAACAAATATCTATTTAATAATATTAAATTATTACGCTAGTAATAGACGAGGCCTCATAATATGATTTACAATCAGCGATAGTATAAGCACTCATATTAGCCCAATAATCCCATCCAAATTGGATAAGACCAGACAACAAGTCACAACCCAAGAATATTTTAATTTCTAAGGCTTGTTCATCCATCTTATTCTAATCTTCAGGTTTTAATTCTTGCTTTGATATTTATAATTAATCCAGTGCATAAAATCCAAAACCACTAGCCATCAGAGTCAAAATTACTGTAGTTCCAGATAAATAAACCAAATCCATTTTCAAACAATAATAGCTTAATATTTATCTAATAAATTACTCATATTCTTCATTTGAAATAATTGCAGTCCAAAACCATTCTATAAATACAAACCCGCTTAGGATCTTCAAAACGATTTCTAATTTATCTAAAAAGTCTTTTTCGAATCCTATTTCTGCTAGCAAGGAACATAATAAAATTTCATTCAAAATCCTAAGACATCTAATAGTTGAAATAACAAAATCAGATCCTACAGTTTTATTGAAAACTTACCCCAAAAGATGAAATAGGCACTAAGCAATATTAATTAACTCATAGATATGCCATAAATAATTTTATTCAATTTCGATAGCAATTTATTACGATCTCTAAATATTATTCGGAATCCATTTATTGCCATTATTGAAGATGTAGTGGAGACGGCCACTTCAAGAAAAGCTTCAATGCAGTTTGCACCATCACATTAAAATAGTGTTGCCATTGTATTTTATTATTTTTATAATTCAATAATTACAGAACTATGTAATTTCAAAATTAAAATCCTTAATCCCTCTTAAGCATTGATACTAAAGCTATAATACTCAAAACAATTAATATGTAAATTTACTCCATAACTTGAACTTACAACTTTATTTCTTATAAATATCAACTATAGAAAACATTTTGTTTATATTAAAATCAAAACATGAATTTGGAATTATTTAATTAACTCAAATTATCTATATTAATTTGACATGGATCTAGATTATTTAGCCAACATGGCGTTAATTTTTGTGTTTTAACAAATCTATTGGAAATAATAATTTAAAAAACTTGACTCTCCAGTGAGTATTCTTTTTTGTTCTAAAAAGCTCCGAAAAATAAAAACTGTATAAAAATAGATACAATTAAATTATATAAAATTGGATTAATTAAAATTGTCTCCATAAACTCAGATGTTTATTTCTTGTTTTATAAAAATGCAAATAAAATAGAATCATCTAGTTGATACTGAAAATAAAATGATAATCAATTTAATAGTTAATATAAGGAAGACTGTAAATTGGAAATGTAGAAACAAAATAGATACTGGAGATTATTTAATTTCTCTAATGATATATTATTTTTTAAATTTAAAAAGAGAGAGAATAAATAACAGACAAGATTTGTCCTAAGTTTATAAATATTAGGCCTACTTGGAACAACAAGATATTCTAGAAACTAAATAATATGTTAATCAAAGAAGAGAATGACTTTAAGATTATGTGGATTTTGCCAAGTGTTTTATTTAGGAGTAATCATATTGTTTATATTAATATATTTATTTATTAAATATGGATCCCAGGTCTTAAAACAATTCTGACAATTAGATTCATGGTGATGACAATGATGATTAAAGATCAGGCGATGATGGAGTACTAATTTTATCAACTTTAAGGATAAATTACATAATTTCAAACACAACATCAATGAAGGTGGTGAAGTAATCCATGAGAATGTCAAGAAAATAGATATGAAAAAAACATTAAATGATACTACCTTCATTTTGACTTGCTTAAAAAACCATTTTGTATTTTATAATCTGAGTGAAGCTGAACTGTAAAAATGTTTATATATATATTTAATAGTGAGAATATCGTAAACAAGATGTTCTATTGCGAAGCTGCTGCATAAACTTATATCTTCAAATAATAAGATCATGCAACCTGCTTTTTTATTTTATAAAGAGGGAGTTTAGAAGTTATAGTTAATGAAAAGGTATGAGTACTCAATTCAAAATTTTAAGGCCAAGAGAGAATTGAAAACTGGAGATGGATTCGGAGAGTTGGCTCTCTTGTACAATGCTCCTCGTTCTGCATCAGTGAAATGTTTTGAGAATTGTAATCTTTGGGGAATCGATAGAAATACTTTCAGAAGAGCTGTTGAGGAGATGATAACAAAAGAATATGAAGAAAACAGAAAATTTATGGAAGTGGTTAGATTTTTTCGTAAGTTCTTTTATAATAAACCTAGATAATTTAACAAATGAGTAGAAGGATGCAATCGCTGCAGTTTTAATTGTACAGAAGTTCTATAAAAATTAAATTATTGTAAATGAAGGCGATCCTGGATCTTCATTTTACATAATCAAAGAGGTATAGAAATTCAGTATAATCTTCTAGGGAACAGTGTCGGTTCTTAAGGGAAACAAAGAAGTTAGAAAACTATATAAGGGTGACTCTTTTGGTGAATAGGCCTTGTATTATAACACTGTCAGATAAATGACTGTTAGAGCAGAGGACGACGTTAAGTGTTTGGCATTGGGAAGAGATTCCTTAACAAAGATCTTAGGAGATCAAGTGCATGTTGTCACATTTAGAAATTTATAAAAATGGGCCTTTGAGAAAAATGCATTATTAAGCAAATTAACCAAAGCCTAAATTGACAAAGTGTTGGATGTGATGAAAATATCTTCATGTAAAGCAGGTGATGTGATTCTGAAAAAGGGTACTCAAGCCAATCAAAAGATTATTGTCATTATTGAAGGTAGTTTGAAAAAGAGTAAGTCTGGTATTACAGTTGCAACTAAGGCTTAAGCTTGGGGTGAAGAGTATTTCTTATAGACCAATAAGGCTAAGATGTATAAGATCTAAACAATAATTTAGTTTGGATGATGATATCGTAATGGAAACTGATGGAGTAATTGCAGAAATTACTGCTGACAATTTTATTGATTGTATTTCAGGTGAATTAGAAGAAGTCATTAAGAAGAATGAGAAAATTCTTGAAAAGAAGTTACAAAAGTCAGATCAAACTAAAAAGAAGGAAGCTCAAAATATTAAGAAATCAGAGCTGATTCATATCAAAACAATTGCTTATGGTCAATTTGGTCCAGTTTATTTAGTTAAAGCTAAATATAATTAACAATTGTATGTCTTGAAGGCTTTCAACAAAAATTAAATTAATGAATAAACTCTTGAAAAGTATTGTTAATTAATAAATAATTTAGATATTTACAATAGGAAAAGCAGGTTTTAGAAATTGTCAATTTTCCATTTATCATCTCGTTTATGAAAACATTTAAGGATTCAATGGATGTGTATTTTCTCCTTGAATATGTGCGAGGAATGGAATTGTTTGATGTGATTAGAGATATCGGTAATTCTTAACATAATATATTCAGGTCTCTTATCAACATATGATTCTCAATTTTATGTTGCCTCTATGATTCTAATCACAGAATATCTACATCACCAAAATATCATTTATAGAGACATTAAACCTGAAAATTTCATGGTTGACGAAAAAGGATTCCTAAAATTAATAGATTTGGGAACTGCCAAAATAATCAAAGGAAAATAAGGAATTATTCGTACCTACACAATTATAGGAACCCCACATTGTATTATCATAATGTTAGTATTTAATAGACATGGCACCAGAAATCATTTGTGGAAAAGGATACAATTGTTTGGTTGATTTATGGTCCATTGGTATATGTCTCTATGAATTCATGTGCGGAATGGTTCCTTTTGGAGAAGAAGCCGAAGACCCTTATGAAATTTATGAGGAAATCATCAAGAAGGATATTACATATCCTAATTATTTGAAAGATAAAAAAGCCAAGAAGCTTATGGATTAGTAAAACTGAATTAATAACATTTTAGATTGCTATCTCGAGTTCCTGAAGTGAGATTAGGAGGATCTTATGCAAGTCTTAAGGGAAATCCTTGGTTTGAAAATTTTGATTGGGTAGTGCTTTGATTGATTAAGTTTAGGAAAAATTGTTAGAAAAAGAGATTAAAACACCATACCTACCCCCGGCAGACAAATTGCTACCAGACATAGAAATAAAGTAACTTGAATAAAATGGTAGAATGATTGAGGATGAAATTAAAGTAAGTATTATATCTACTCAAGTAAGAACAATCCGTAAGACAAATTGATGGCAACAACTAAGGAGATCAAGGATGGGAAAAAGACTTTTGAAATCTAAAATTAATATTAGAAAACCACATTCATCAAATATTATACACTTTTCTCTTTCTATTAAAATATATATGCTATCACATTCATTAATCTGATTATTGTTTATTTTCTGGCAGCTTTCTTTATAAATCTTTTTCAATCATTTATTTTCCTTCCTCAGTGACTTCTAATATGGCAATCAATTTAATCTTTTTTCCACCTTGATCTGGAGTATATGTTTAGGTCTCTATCTTCTTAATCGTAGCATAATTCTTAGATAGCAACTACATTTTACTTTTCTTGAAAGAGATTCGGCCACTGCTGCCACAGTCTTTGTAGCCTCACCCAAACCATGCAATTCAACTTTTTCAAATTTATTCAAGAATATTTTGGATAAGAAAATGAATTGACCTGAGGATTTCTTTAATGAAATGTTCAAAATTGAATCTTTAGGGTCCAAGGGTTGCTTTTGCTAATCCATAATAATTAATGTTTAAATAAAATATTTAAAATGAATTGCAATAGATACTAATTGTCATAACAGATGCCAGAATAAATTACATTAGAAACTTAACAAATGTATAAGGTGGAAAATAGATGGCAGCCATCTTATTTTGAAAACGTAGAGTGTATCTATAATATTATTTGTGTTATTTCTAGAAATAATTCTTTTTTGTATAGAATAGTTGAAAACAATAATTATTTTTAAATGGATACTTCTAATCAATGAATTCCTTATGTGAAGATAAATAATTGATTCATTCTTACTTAACTCCATTGGATCAGAACCTATCCATTTGTGAATATTTAATGTTTTTATAAATAATCTATTAATTAAAATTCCTAACAATTTTCCTATATTAATTTATGAAATTATAGAATTTATATAGAAACAATTTTAAGAATGTAAACTTAAAATAAGTAATTTGCAGAAAAGCATTAGAATAAGAATTATTCTGTGTTATACATTTAATTGGTACCATTAATTTACAACCTAACTATGTTTGTTAGTATTATTTGATTAAGAAAAATAATTTTTTTATATATTCTGGATGAATCGGCAGAATTAAAAGGCTATAAGAGCTTCCTTAAAGAAAGCGCTATTTAATGACAGGAGAAGAAATGCATGTCCCATTCAAAGTCGCTAAAACTCATCTCCTTCTATTCCCAATAATTAACCTAGAGCTATAAATTAATAATTTAGACATTTTAGCGACGTCTATGAATATGGGGATGAGTAAATAGGTAAAATGAATATTTATGATTAGGTGAGGGAGCCCATGGAATTGTCAAGAAATGCTATAGAAAAGATCCAAATACCAATTATGGAGCATCTGACAGAATTGCATATGCTGTCAAAGTGTTCAGAACTGGAGACACAGAAGTAATCAACACGATAAGGGAGACATTTAACCTAAATCGTGGATTAAACGATCTTAATTGTGTTGTTAAAGCTCTAGATTTGTTTATAAATTCAAAAAAAGAAGAGCATCATCTAGTGATGGAATACTGTCCATTTCCTAGTCTAGAATAAAGAATAGGATCCTTATGTGAAGAAGACATCTAATAGATCACCTTAAATTTGGCTTAATCTTTGCTTTCTTTGCACTAAAGAGGAGTTTGTCATAGAGATTTAAAACCTGATAATATTCTAATAGGAGATTAACTCTCAATCAAATTGATTGACTTTGGAGTCTCAAAAAGATTTTTAGTGAAAGGAAAAGTAACAAAAAAAATTGATATGTGGACTAGGACTGGTTCATTATTTTATTAAGCACCAGAAATATTTATGGGTGGAGGATATGATGAGAAAAGTATTACAATTACACTATTATTGTAGTTGATATTTGGTCAGCCGGTATAATTCTGTATCAGCTATTATTTGGGTAATTGCCTTTTCATTAAGAAACAATTCTAGATACAATCGAAATGATTATTGATTCGAAATTGAACTCCACTGCTCTCAGTCAACTAAATCCCTTAATTCAGGATTTATTGAGAAGACTATTGGAAAAAGATCCAAATAAAAGACTGTCTGCTGAAGGTATATGTATTTACTATGGTGATTAGGATTTGTTCTACATCCTTGGTTACATACTACTCAATAAAAAAAATCAAATAAAAGTTTTGATGATTGCGACATAGTATAAACAAGAAATAATGAAAACATATTACAGACTTCTTAGATAACCATTTAAAGATAGAATTATAGATATTAAAATCAATTAACGGTACCAATCTAAGAAGAAAGGGAATAAAGCTCATTAAAGAATAGTTGGAATTATTGGGAGAACCATGTTCATTATGTCCCTCAAGATGTAATAAAAATGATAAATCTTGATGATGGCTACATAAATTAGGCTGGTACATCTTAAGAATTAGTAAATGATAAAAAGATATCTGATGATTTGACTGATTTTTAAATTGGATTAGTAAGAACCAATTCAGAACAATTTGATTAACTATGACTAAAAACACTAGATTCATCTTTTTTATTTAAAATAAATCTCCATTATAGCTTGACATCTATTAGCAAGAAGTTTCTAATTTTTGTTCATAAAGAATTCATAGAATTGGTTGAATTTATGTATTCTTTTTGACAAAATAACTTTACTTTTCGTCAAAAGTTAAGAATTTCTGAAAATCTAAAAAAAAGAAAATAACATAAGGATACTTTCAATACTTAGCACCCAATAAAATAATTACCATTTTCTAAAGAAACCAAAAAAACTATATAGAGAGGATAGGTATTTTATTTAATTATCAAGAGCACTCGAAATATTCTTGTGAAAATACCTAAATGTAACCATATTCTATTTAAAAAAGATCTCCCTACAAAGAAATTCAAATTAGAATAATAAACATAATTATTATATAAACTAATCTATTCCTTATGATAAATTGAACCTACTCTCATGAAGTTTCCAGAAATTCATGAAAAATAATTGTAAATTATATTTTATTTCAATTAAGTGCTTATTTAGTATATAATTAAAATTCATATCATTTTACTTTTTTAAAGCAGCCAAGATCAGTATTTAATCTCTATTCAAATCTAAAAATGAATAATTTTGATGGTTATTCATTTAAAAAATGGAAAATTGCTTCAGAATTAACAGAAAATTATCAACTGAATTCTGATAGAACTATCATTGAATTTTAACAATAGTCAATCTTTTTATCTCAAAATCTAATAAATTTATTCCTAAAGAGTGTTCTAAAGAGACTTTTATTAAGTAAAAGAAATTAAGAATTTAAAAACAAAAATTAATTAAATTCAGTTTTCTCGAATTTTGTATATGTATTCATAGAATTTCATTTGTTTTTGTTTTTACTTTACGACATCGACTTAGTAATAGATTTATAGAAATTAGTATTTTATTAAATAACCCCAGCTGAACCTTTTCGATGAACTGGTGCATAGAAATTATTTTCAAACTAGTCTTATGTCTACTCGAAATGATTGGGTCTAGAGGTTTTTGGGATGGGAGGCTGAGAATGTCTAGCAGCGAATTGCATCAATTAATTGGCAAACCCTTTGTTAGGATTTATTTGAGGTCGTTTAGATTTAACAAAAGTAAAGGCCTAATAATAAGTCATTTTTTTCTTCTCTATTAAATAGGCAATTACTATGGCTGCAGATCGGGAGACGCCTGCCATACAATGAACTTAGCTTCTTATAACAGATCAATGTTACCTAATACTCCTCCTATGTTAAATCCTCTTTCAATCCAATCAATGGCTGTTTGAAAATATTAAGAAATATTGGTTAATTCGATATCCAATATTTCTATTTTGTGATGGACTATTCCCTCATATTTTTCATTTAACCCTGCAGCCACTGTTATGATTGTCCTGATTCCTTTGCTTTTAAGGAACTCCTTTGAGATAATAAATAATGATCATACTAAGTTCAGAGTAGACTCGTAGTCCCCTAACCACAGAGCTCCTCGGTCGTTGAGAATCAAATTGCAATGTTATTACATAAAAATTAATATCATAAAAATTGAAGAGCATCTCCTTAATACTCAAGACTAAAGAAACTGAAATATTAATCTCCCATCTCTTATAACTCATTTCTATTAAAACAAAATGTCAAATGTCTTGTTTCATTCGTAATTCTTAAGCACTACATAAAGGGTAGAATTTGAAATCGGATGACATCTCCTTCTCCGAAAGTAAAATTAACCTTTCTAATAATATGATATCTATTGTCATTTTCTTCCTTCTTTTTTACTTCTCCCAATCTATTAACTATAAAATCAACTGAATTAGATAATTGTGAAGAACAAACTCCAATTAGTAGATTACCCCTTAAGCGAATTACTCTGCATTTCCATTCGTAACCCTCTAAACCTGTAGTAAAATAATAATCTACGTAGAAGTGAAGGAAATCATTTTTCTATTTATTGTAATTGTATGAATTTCTAATATTCAAATGAATTTTACCTAACAAGCCTTGCAATATATAGATTATCTGTAGTGAATTAGTAGTTTGCAGTAAAAATTGTAAAAAAGTTATACTCAGTTAAGGCTATAAGATCTCCTTTCATCATCCTAGCTATCTTCTCCTCATAATAATTAACCATGTCATCGCAAATTAAATATTGTGTGTATAGATTCTCCAATTGCTAATCTTAAACCTTAAACAAGTTTTCTATGCAATTCTGCTAATCATTTTAATTATTACATATTTATCATGTGTAGACTCAAGATCACATTTTGGCATCCTCTTATGACATTTCTAACATTCAACAGGAATCTAAGAGCATTATGCCTCATGTTCCTCTAGTTTATTTTATAAAATGTATTATTAACAACCTCTGCATTATTTTTTTCTTTCCTTGCAATTAACAATATGGTTTTCATAATCTGTATATGGTATCACCTAAGTGCAATCTTTTAAATACATTTCCATACCTGAATGAATGCATTTCAGTTCGATTTACGATAATAATACTTTCACCAAAGGTATTTCAGTCTTGATAAAGACTCTCTTGCACTTCGGACAATTACTTTCATTCGCAAAGGTTTCTTCCTCTTCTTCGAAAGTTGATTGTGCACTAACCATTATATGGATAAGTACTTTTTCTAATTTAACCAAGACTCAATGCAGTATTAGCAAAATGATGAGAAACATCTGTCTTACCCACATGCAATTGGTTTCCATAGAATATTAAAACAAATTGGGCATTGAAGTAAATCGATATTAACACTTGAATTGCATAATTATGAAATTGGAATTCCACCTTGTTCTAACATTAATTCAGCTTCTTCTTCCTATTACATTTTATACACTAAATTTAATAATAATAAATGATCTCAATTAATAAAGATGAGATCAATCTAAAATTGCACAATATAAAAATAGTATAATAAAATCTAGAGAATAATACTAATTAATTTCTTAGATATCGTAAGATTTATTTGTTAAATCAATATTTATTCAAAATTTCAATTCATTAACAATAAATTATTGCCAATCGCTTTTCTTTATACCCATTTTTATGGCTTTGTCGTATAATTCATTAAGCATTACATCTTTGTTTGGGTGATTAAAGGGCAATTCGAGTTTTCTGTTTACAACTAATTAAAAAAATCGTTTTTTATCATCCTAGATTTCCTCTGTGATATTGTCTGAAGTTGTTTATCTTGACAATATACAATTTGCTTTTGGACTTTGAAGACTATCATTTGAGCTGCCATCTTTATTGAATATCATTATTAATTCTATTTTTTTTTGCTTCTCTTTAACTACAGATATTAATTTTTAAACATTAAATTAAATATTGTATTTTGATTCCTTAAATGATTTTGAGTTTGTGATGTCCTTAAGATGCACTACCTCTTTTTGAAGGAGATTACTATCTTCGTTTTGTTTAATGATCTTATCTATCGAAACTTGGATAGGTTCCAACATGGGATCGTATTTTATGGATTTTAAGATGATATTTTTCAGTTGTATGATTTTCCCATTGATATCATCTATTTAGGTTTTAATCAATTATTTAGGGTAATATTGAGATTTTGTTCTTTTTTGGAGGAGTTAAATAATATTTGTGCTATCTTACTTCTAGTTAAGATTGGCATCCAAATTTTTGGAACTATAGTGACATACAGTGATGGCTGATGTCTCAGCTCTTGGGGTATAGTTGGTGGATGATCTATGTTTATGAGATTTGATATCATTTTCATTTTATTTGGATGGAGGTTGGTTTTTAGGAGTAGAATCGTTTTTGATTATATTTTTCATTTTGTTGAATTGAAAATGTTTTGTCTCAGGAGAAATCTTAATTTTCTTTGAATTATTAATTTGATTTATTATTTATTCCTTCTGTGGTTTCTATTTACATTGATGATAACTAGCGAGGATCTATAGAATTTACTATAAGGAATTCTTGTCAAATTTAACGATTGGTCGCTAATTCTTCTATGACACAGGATGATTTGTAGAAAGACTATTATTATTCTAAATTAAGAGGGTTTATTCATATTTTGAATTATCAAATGGCTATAATATGCTATCATTCAGCTGTTACGACGAGTCTGTGATTGACGAAAAAATTCGCTCATATTCTTTAGGCAATTCGATATTCGAACTAAAATTTTATAAAGGTATTTGAAAAGTTCTTCTCTCTTCAACCTCAATTTCATCATCAACATGATGGAAAATTGGATTCATAAATCCTTTCATTTTTAATTATTATTTAATATCTCAATACATGATCAATTATTATATAATACGTTATTGATAACAAGGTTCTAGAATAGTTGCTCTTATACTACTTCCAAGTGTTATATCATGAATCTTGATGTAACTAAGATGACTATAGAGTTTTAACAAATTTGGGTGAATGATGATAAATTATAATTAACATATATATAATTCAGTTAAGTTTTTTATGTAATCTAGTTTAGAAACACCTCATTTTTTATTTAAGATCATAGTTTTCTTAACTTAATAATATTACCTATTCTTAATATTTATCAGCCTTCTCACATAATAATTATTTTGAAACCAAGTAATCACTTTCCAACATCTGAACATATTCTTTAAGGTTCCTCTAATTAAATTATTATTTCCTTATAATTTTGAGCTGATTTTATAAGAGTTATAATTATGCTCTTTGTTCCTTCAATTATTTTGTTGATTTACAAAGACATTCTTCATATTATATGCATAATTCTGACTTTTCATCTAAGGCCTTTCTAAGATGGGTAGTCAAGTCTTTATCTTCATAACTATCTTCCAATAATTCAAAAGCTGTTATATTGATATCTTCTCTTTAATTCTAATCATTTGAATGAGCTGTCTATTATAATTAATAATTCTCTGAGTGCACTTTGTCTTTGCTTTCATTATGTGTTTCCAACTAATCTTTCAATTCATTTATCTGACAGAGTAGTTCTTTGTTATTTTATGTTAATTTATTATTTTAAAGCTTTAGTGCAGATGCCTATTTTGATGTTTAACTTATTTGGATATTTTATTTCTTTTATAACTTGTAATGAATACATTAAGTTTAATATCTATGCTATTTTTCTCTTTCTAGAAATGTTCCTTCATTAATTCCATTTGTCTTTGCATTTTGATTAACTGTTAGTTTAGTTCTTAACTTTCATCTAATAACTATTAATTAATATTTGTCAACTAATTGATAGTGTTCCTATCAAACATCTACTAATTCTCTTTCATTTCCAACTAGAATATGATAATTGTTATACCTCCCTATCAAGCGAGTATACCTTCTCTTCCAAATAATGTAAAGTTTCCAACATTTCAATTTTCTCTTATTGTCCATCATTACTACTCTATTGCATTTGATCCAATAGGTATGTGTTCCACTTTCTTTCCTATTCTTATAATTACTCGAAATGTTTCATCTAAATTGCGTCAATCCTTTAATTCAATTCATTTATGTGACTTTGTTAAAACAAACTATTTACTTTTTGAGTTGCATAATTTCATCATCTTTATTATATTATCTAGATCCATGATTGGCTTAAATCATAGCTTCTAATTATTATATTTTTTCATCCTTCTCCATTATAATATCAATAGCACTCTTCTCGAGTTCTTAAATCTATAACTACAATTGAGATATGAATTATTTCATGCTCTTTAACATTTGGCTTTTCTAATCCTAATCTAAATGCTCGAATTCTTCGATATATTTGTTATCCATATTAATAATTATTAAAATAGGGCATTATTTACAAATTTAGTGCTGAATAATTTTCATAACATCTAAAATAACAGAACAATCTTCAGTTATTCTTAGATTAAAGATTAAATCACTTAAATTTAAGTGGCTCAAGAAAACTCAATTACTATTGTTTTAAGAGTCTCCATATGAATATACTAGCCTCAATCTGTATTCTATGTGACTATCTTACAATCTATTCCTATACTCTCTTCTATAACCTTAATTGAAATAAATAAGTAGATTAAAAGCATTAAATGACTACCAATATATTTGAAATTTAATTAATTGTCTATATACTGAAATATTATATATAAGACCATAAAGTCAGCTTATTCTAGAATCATCTAAATATTCATATAAATCATTTGGTAAAAATTTAGTAACAAGGGAATAATAACTAGTTGCTGGATGAGTTTTTGAGTTTCAAGATAATATATAATAAACTATAAATGAGAGAGTACAATTAATAATTTTGAAGTACCAAAAAATAGTTTATCTTTATTTATTTAGATATAAAAAGATCTATTAACTATGTAACTTTAAATGCAATTTATTATTGAAATATGATGTGATTATAGTTAGAAATGAGGAAGGAATTAATAGAATGAGTGCAAAATAGAATTTAAAAATTTGACAACAATGTTGTTTTGGAAGGAATATTTATTAGTTTTTAATTAAAAGATAATGTATTTTGACAATTTAAGATTTCTAACTGGAAATTATCTCGAAAGAATATAATTAGCAATTTAATGATATAGGAACTCAGATTTTAGAGTCTTCAGTGAGTATGAGTAAATAATCGAAATAAGCTAACTGATTAAGAACAAATTTTTTGATTATTTTATTTGAATTATGGGCTGTTGTATTAATACTCCGTATGTATATCCTGATGGAGGGGTCTATGATGGTGAACTGAAAAACGGTCTTCCTGTATATAATCAACTTAATCTAGCACGGAAAAGGTAAAATTTAGTGGAAAAATGGAGATTACTTCGAAGGAGTCTTCGAGTGTGGGAAAAAGAATGGTAGAGGAATATTTAAATGGAGTGATTCATCATATTATGACGGAGAATTTAAAAATGAAAATTTTCATGGATAGGGAGAATATCAATGGTATGGAGGCAGACTCTACAAAGGATAATGGGTTGAAGGAAAAATGGAAGGTCAAAGTGTACTAATTGATGATGGCAAACATTATCAAGGTTGAATTCTTTATGTATTTTGAGGCTAATTCAAAAATGACAAAAAAGAAGGCATAGGTGAAATGAAATGGTCTAATGGGTAACAATACATAGGGGAATGGAAGAATGGGAAATAAGATGGTAAAGGAAAACTTATTGATGCTAATGGTCATTTAACAGAGGGGTTATGGATTAAAGGAAAGAAATAATGATTCATTATTTTTGTTATTTTCACATGTTGCTGTTTATGTTTTTATTATAAATCAATGACCAATATTATTTTAATTTAAATAATCTTATTTATGTACTTAAAGTACAAAATATTGTTGCATTTACTATTTGATTTTTGAGTAGATGAATGTAGTTTTTCAGATGATTTAATTATTAATTAATTTTATCATAATATTGTGAGAATAATTTGAGTGCTTCAGAATTAACTGATTATAATGATCGTTATTTCAGAATGATAAAATAATATCTGGGTAATATTAAGTTTTTAATAATAGACTGAATTTCATTTTTTTCTTCTTTAACTCAATTAAGGAATATTAAAGCTAGTTTAGAATAAAACATATTAAATATTATCATTCACATTCGCTCCAGTTCTATTATGAAAATCGTTCATTGAAGATGAGAGCAATGCGATTATCACTTGATCTAGCACTGCTTAAAAGAAAACCTTTGGAACTAGTAGTGATATCTGTATCTCTTTAATATAATTTTTGACTCATACTTTCTTAAATTGATCATAAATTTCTTTTTCGGCAATAGCATTTTAGCAGGTCTTTTACCTTTAAATTTGCTATGACTCCCAATTGAGACATCATCTGAAAAATTCTTGAAGCTTTTTGGAGAATAGTCCTCGCCAGAATAATTATGAAAATTTTCTAGGAGTCGAAATTCATCTCTGTCTTCAAGGAATTAATTCATTGCAATTTCTATTCTTTCATCTTTTTAGATTACCAGGTCTAATTCAATCATAGCAGATACCTTTTAATTTGCCTTTCTATTCTTCATTTATCTGATTTTTCTTACAAAGCATGTAGATCTTGTAAAATAGTTTTCCCTCGAAGCTATCTATCCTCTCCATTTATATTTATTAATATTATTACAAAACAATTTATTCGCAAAAATTACAATAATGCAAAAATTAATTAGAATCTTAATTCCAAATGACTCCAAAATAAAATTTAATTACACCTATTAGATAATAAATTATGATTAATTGTTTACATTATAGAAATGCATTGTCATTTAGGATTCATAATATTCTAGTGGATGTTATTTTATTTATTTTCTTCTTATTAATTTCATAATTTGAATTTAGCAATCTGATTTGAATATTAACTAAGTGTATTTATTAGTTTAATATCTAGAATGGTGTTAAGATCGAATTATAAGATCAATAATAATGAATTTTCGCAGTAACAAATAGTAGATTTATGGAATAAAATTGATGTATTTTATAGATGATAGTAATATTTAATGTGCATTTTCGAACTTCATCATTAAATGATTGCATTATCTAATAACAAATGGTTTATTTAAATCAAAAAATAACATTTTTAAAATTGAATAGTTAATGTAAATTACACCTTTTATTGATGCTTATAAACTTGATGATTTAGTGTCAGCTCAAAAGCATAAAATAATTGCTCCTGTTTTTCAAAACTATAAGGTAGAAACATAAGATTACCTGATTTCACCAAATGGGTAATTCATAGCAATTATGTATAACATGGAGCCGATGCTGAAACAGGACAAATAATTCTCTATTGTGTAATTATTCAATATAATAACTGGAGAACAGAGTCACTCACAATAAGTGGATTAAGAATGCCCCGTCATCTCTATGTAATTTAGTTTTGATTCAAGCATATTTGTTGTATTGGATTTCTTCAATTTAATTCTCTTCAATGTTGAAGAAAAAAATAAAATAGCCATAATAAAATTAAAAAGTGATGGCATAGTTTCGATTGATTCAGAGAACAATGTTATTTTGGGCTCATCAAATAATCAAATTATTGTGTATTCTACAAAAAAGGCATTTTAAGAAACTTTGCAATTTGATAGATTAGTAGATCATCTTCAAAAGCTGGGAGCCAATAAGGTAATTTATATTTGTGGTTGCAATTAATATCTATTTAATTTGCAAAATAACAAAGTACTGCGAAGATGGATGAACCATGAATTCGAAATAAAGGATTAAATAATTTATAAAAAACTTCTGATGATTTAATCATGGTATGACAAGTTTAGATCAGTGTATATTAAACTATAGTAATCAGGAAGAATTATTAGGAAATACATCAGAAGTTCTAATAGAAAAGAGATATTTAGAATAATGGAGGATAAATCATCAGTTTCAATCTAGAAATTTTATATTTGCAAAACAAAATAGCCAATATTGAATGTTTCAAAGAGTGTATTTAAAATTGAAATGATAATTACAAAATTTGATTTAATATAAGGGCGATAGAGAAGATATTATTTCAAGATTGATGAGGATTCTTGGAAGGAGATTCCAATTTATATCTTATTAGATAATTAACTGAAATATTATCTTTTGATAATTTGAATTATTCATTACTGCATTTTTAGTATTGTTATATCTGTTTATATATTTAGCCTATAGCAATTTATCATTTTTTATAAAATGGAGCTGACAGCTTTCTTATTCTTTTATAAGGATCTTCGGATTTCTTGGGAACATTTAATCTTCGAGTCAAATCAGTTTACTAAGTAGCTGTTTATTGAGTTTTTAAGAATTGTTTAAAAGACTGTGCACTTGGAGTTTGAGCCAATCTAAAGCAATCCTATTATTTTATTGGAGGACAAGGTTCGTAATCTCTTAAAGATGTGAAGAAGTTCGTTCTTCTTTGAAACTTTTATGATGATGGAGCCAGTCCTCCTTCATCAGCACTAGAAAATAAGAAATTAAAATTACATTACATAATTATCTCTTCCAGATCCATCACTTTGATAGTGTCTAAATTTGGGTACCATCATAGGAGCAGGAGGTTTCCATTGTTTTTATTTGCTAAAGGTTCCTAATTCAGGATGCACACATTAAATTTAAATTTCTTTCCAAATTCCTCCATTTTATAAAGTGACATAGGAATCCCTACCTTATGATATCCTTCGATAAATTTACCAGTTCCATCTGGTGCATAGTGTGTCATTTTGGCTTCCAGGGTTCCAGCAGTTGCGCATCTTTGTAATTTTGACATGTCAATATTTAATATTAAAAATAATAATTGAAAATGCTCGTTATATTATGTTGATAATCATTAATAAACTTGCATAGATAATTTATAATAATATAATCTTAACAATTTAATTATTTATCAACTAAATAACATTCTAACTGTTCCTTTGAAATGAAAATCTAGATCTATGATTAAGTATACCAGATGGCATGGCATCTTCGATCTTGCTTTGTTTTCTTGATTATTATTAAAATAAAATAATATTATTAATGAGATATGCATAAAATAGTTCAAGTGAATTCGTTTTAGGGATAGCATTTTTGGTGTTGGGCATGATTTACACAACGATATTCTTTTTTGGTGTAATCAGATATTGTAAAATGGGGAAGAGAACAAAATACTTGGGAAAGCAATTTTACTTATCTATTGTATTGTCTTGTTTGGCATATATGTTGAATATGGCTTTGTACTTATATGATGTACATTTACAAATGTAAAATAGGTTTTTAAATCTCAACCTACTGATGAGTATATTGTGAGTATTGAAAAATAGCTGTTAAATACAATATATGTTCCTGATGGCTTATTTTGGATAGTTTATCAATCATTGTTTTGGACAGTGGTTTGTTTGCATTATGACTCACATCTGCATATAGGATAATAGGATGAACTTCCATATAATCCAAATATGTTGATTAATGCTACAAAAGACATTTGTTTAGTATATGGAATAGCTCAATTAATTGTTGTGTTATTATATAACTTTGATTAAATTAAAAGTGGAGTATTATTTTACATCAACATCTGCATCAATCTATCGATTCCTGTCTAATTGATAATAACATCTCTATACCTATAATATAAATATTCAGGATCCCCATTCAAATCGTCAAAATAAGAAAATAATTCAAATAGATTGTAAAAGTTAATATTTTATTGGACAATCCTAAGAGTTTTTCAAATCATTAGCAATATTTTATTAATGGAAAATCAGGAAAGTATAGAGAAGTTCTTTTCATCCCAATTAAGTCAAAACCAACTGTTGTTGTATATTTCAATACTCATAATTGATCTATTATTGACTAACATATTTCCATTTATCTTGGCCCTTAGACAGTAAAGTTTTTCGATATTTTTGGGTCACAAAAATACTACAATGAGTACTGTTTCAGATCAGCCAATTCATTAACAATTGATAAATGATAATAAGAGCTCAGTAATGGAGAGGAAATAGATTTAATTTGATTACAATGAAATAATGAGATAGAATATGAATTAATAAGCAAAACGATAAAAACCAAATGGATTCGGATACATTATTGTCTGTCAAATATAATAAAAAAGTTATGGAATGAGAGTGATTGAATTCAAATAACTGTAACCTTATTTGATTGAATAGATAAAGTAGGAAATTGAATAAGTGAATTAATTAAATCATTAACAACTTTATCACATTCGTGGATTCAAAATAGTAGAAAGTAAGGTAGTATATCTAACCAAATTTTATTAATATTCCTTACACAGTTATCTAGCATAGTATTAGATTTCGATAGAAGAAAAGATTAAGATCTTAATTTAACTGTTAAATGGACTCAATTATCTGCACAAATAAGGTCTTTGTCATGGGAGTTTGACATCGGAAAATGTAATGGTTAAACCAAATGGTCATGTCAAAATAAGTAAATGTGATATGTTATCTTTTCTAGTTGATTTCGGTCTATTTGGGATTAAGAAATACTAATCATTATTGTAGTTTTACACAAACAAATCTGCATTTACAGCTCCAGAATTGATTTAACAAAGAGGGTTGGTTGTGAGTGGATCATAATAAGGAGACATATACAGTGTTGGAATGATTATGTATGAGATGTTTGAAAAGAAAGTGCCTTTTGAAGGATTATAACTATAAAATATTTAGGATTGTCTTAACAAAGCAGTAAGGCCTAAGATTGAGTCTCAATCTTTGATGGATGATATCATTAGATGGTGTTGGCAACAGGATATAGAGAAGAGACCATTGGTTGATTAGTTATTAAATGTAATTGAAAAAATATAAATAAAATGAGTGGTACAATAGTTGTGGGGTCAAATATTTACGAGACTGAATTCTTGGACGAAATTTTTATCTATTATGGCAACAAGACCAACAACACCATTGGCTTTAAGGATGGGTTGATAATTAGTCCAAAAAAAATGGAATTGCCAGAATATAAAATGAATAGATCTGAACGAGGAGAAATCATCATGGCAATAATTAAGGAAGCCATGAATCTGATGGAATACTCAAAGTTATCAGATATGGGCATTATTAACATGTTTGAATTACAATACATAAATCAATTGAAATCATATCCATCACTAAGATTTTAATTGATGGATAGAGAGCAGCCATCAGTGTTAATGGATGTTCGTAAATCCTATTTTACTATGCATAATTGTTACTAAATAATTAAGACTTTAAATACAGATCCCTCCACATATTTTAAGAATAAATTTGTGCTTTTGAGGTACCCTGAAAAAAAAATGATTGTTCAAATTAAATCAGTTGTGCTTGATTAAGAGTTCACATATAAGGGTTTATCTTTGGAAGACTACTTTAAATAAAAATATTAATTGAGGAGCAAATCAAGTGTTTATTTAGAAACATACAACACTCAGAATATTAAGAAATAATTCTTAATTGCAGAATTTTGTGAATTGAAAATAGATTATATTGAATAAGATGTCACTGTGTATTGTCAACAGCTGGAATATTGGAATAAAATTATTAATAATAGTTCATCATTTATTTAATTCTTAAATTAGTATAAATTCATAATCAGAAATGAGTAAGTTGAATTCAAGTAATAATACTTAGAACCTGGAAATTTAGCATTAAATAATCAAACTAAATCAATATTTTAGATTGTGGCCTCCAGAACATCAAGTGAATTTGAGTACTACTACACTGATTTCTTTCTTAAAAATCCCACTTCTTTTACAACCTCACTGACCATCAATAAATTGATGATTTTAGTAACTAGAGAAATCATTGAACTTAGAGACAACTTTAAATCATTTTTAGAAAAATTTGATTTATTCATCAAATCCAGATAATACAAAATATCATAACCATAAATTTATGATATAAATAATAATTTGAATGAAATCCTAGAAAAATATGTCACTGAAGATGCATATGTACTTTTTGTTGGAGATCAAAATACAGATTTTATCTAAGCAAGAAATACTTTGTTATCCAAGGCCATTCCTAATTAAATAATTATTCTTCCCATATAAGATTAAGAAATAAATAGATTATTAGCCATGATGACTGCCAATCTTGGTAGTGTGCCTTGGGCTATTAGAGAAATTAATGGATTAATTACTAATAAAAAGAGCGCTGTCTTAGGTATCTGGAAAAGCGAGAATTCTTATTCTGCATGTCTCAGCATCAATAAATATCTCAACAAGTATATATCCTCGTTTGGAGATTTAGATTAAGTTCTAACCCTTCTTTTAGCCACTTATTATGCCACCCATAAAATATTGGCTAATTAAATCATTGTGTTTGCTTAAGATGATTATACACAGATTATGGAACAAAGAATTCTAGGAGTCATTTAATTGATAAGAGATCAAGGATTGGCATAGCAAATCTTAAAACCTGAAGTTGTTATGGTTTAAGTAAAGGATGCCACGGCAGAAAGATACTTCACATATTTTGAAAGAAATTTGTAATATATTATTTCTATCTTATTCTAGTGAATCTTACTATTGTAAAAACCCTTAAGTAGGTTGTATAATCCCCATCAATGAGAAGTAAGGGAGATTTTCATTCCATTCTTAGAGAGGAGAACAAGGATGTTTATAAGCCTAATAATTACATATTAGTTCAACCAACACAAAAGAAATCGCTTAATTATACTATCATCTGATTTTCTTAAATTTCGATTTGAGTTCCACCACTTATTTACCTGCACCACTTCATTATGCCAAAAAATTGTCAAAACACCAAATTTAGAGTGAACAATACAAAAAAGCAATAGAAAAAGGATTTTTGTTATTTGTTTGAGTATGATTTATACCATGATCTTATAAAAAAAATTTATGATTTGGATTAATCAGGATAAGAAAATTGAATATTTAGTTATCACTAATATTTTAATAATGTTCAATATATTATATCTCACAATTGAGTCACTGTATTTGGCACTGTTCTTTAATAAAGCAATACTTATTTTGAATAGAAATCTGGTACTGCTTGATATTCAACTTTTTGCTATTAAATATTTTAATCTAAAATTTACTCTCTTATATAAGTATGGGAATGTTATTCCATTGAATGTGTTAAGGTAGATTACCAAAGTTCCACCGACCAACAATCCCAAGTATGCTTGAATTCCTACTCTGGCTCCATAATAAACTGGATTCAATGAAAACTTTAATGACTTTGGAAAATGTTTGCTTAATTGCTCAAACTTACTGTTGTCCATGGCCATTTTTATTTATTAAATTTATATATATAATTTCTATATTTATATTCATTTATATTTCCTCATCAGATAGCATAATTTTTTTGGTATTCCTTTCTAAAATAATGTTTCCAAAGGAATCTATCTAATGCTTTCTCTCCCTAAATCAAATTTCTATGAAAAGCTCAATATTACATAAATTTCTATATAAAGAGTGAAAAGTAACATAGGGATACCAAAGATTAAAATGTAAATAATATTGGATTCAGTTAATTTATTTAAAGTAGAGATAGTCAAATTTAAAAAGTATTAACAAAACCAAGAAATTTAATATTGTGTGGCATCAAGACCATAAAAAATGTATAAAAGATAATTATTAGAATTGTGCATCTAAAAGATCCCATTCGTCCTTTGTTCAGGAGTTAAGGACTCATCACTTATCAAATATTCATACTCGATAATCACCTGCAACGTGTTTTTAAGTAATTGCATGAGACCAATTTAGTAATAATCCAATAAAACATCAGAAAATACTCTATTCTTTAATAATTCCGAACTCATATTACAACCAATTAGCAAGCAAACATCTTTCCCAATCAAGATCTATTTATTCTGCTCTGATATTAATAGATTTTAGTTTTACTCCTTGGCATTTCTATACAACAAATCAGTTAAATCATAAGCCTACAAAAGTTTAATTTGATTGAGTAAAAATGCTTTATCAATTTCCAATAAACTAAAAAGTTGTTAATTATTTTGTATGTTCTAATTAGAATAATTAAAATAATTATTCTCGTAATAAAATTGCTTCAGCAAATAAGTATCCCACAAATTGATAGTGATTATAAAATTCAATCTCATAAGCTAAGCTTCTATTTCTCTTGTAGTTGCAGGAGCAATTCCTGAAGCTACATAATCATAATAAATTTGGAAAACAGCCGAGAAGCTGATTTTTAGGATAACCAATATAAGATACACGATTATATATTTTCTAATCGACAAGGTTGGTGAATTACGAAACATTTTTTTAGCTTCTATCGCAGATTTATTTTTATTATTCTAATTTTTATTGTTATCTATCAGAACTGCCATCTAGTTTGTTTCTTAATATTGTATTAATGTCAGGATGTTAGTCGGAATTAATTTAATTTAATCGAAATGATTTTGTTTAACTAAAAGATTATCTTGATTGATACTATTCTACAATCTATCGTAGGAATCTATGATAAATTCGCACTCATCAAATTCTAGAGTTATAAATTGATTTAAATAAATTTGAATTACCTTTTTTAATCTGAAAATTGCTAAACCATGGAACATTCCAAATAGCAATGCTATACAATATATCAACACAAAAATAATTGAAACTAATTGATCGTATTATCCATTTATTTTATCATTATAATCATTGCAATCATAAAGAGATTGATTTACTACAGATATGATGTTCTGATAATTAAAATATAAAAAATATCTGTTTCTTAATCTAAAATTTAAAATGTTAAATACCCTATATTGCTTTCATTATTATTCTATAAATACATGTTCAGGGATACATCATTCTAAAATGTCATATACAACAATTAATATAAAGTTGTGTAATGAGTTGCAAAGTTGTTTAATGTTTGGCTCTTCACTTGTAAATTAGAAAAATCAGGGTAAGATAAATTCACTGGCACATCCTCATAAGTTTATAGAATATTTGAATAGATTTAAAACTTTCCTATAACTCCTTGGGAACCTTGAACTAGCAGATCCCATGATATATTTATGCGATCTGTACTTGTAATAGTAATGATCCCATTATCAACTTTCAATTTGATAGGATCAAAAAGGGTCTAAAAATTAGAGTTAAATATCATATGTCTAGACCCAGACAATACCGAACTGTAACCATTAAAATAATTGATATCTTCAGTACTATTGATTATGCAATTCGATTAAATCACTTTTTTTAAAAAATAAACAGCACAGATTAATGCTATAATAACTATTGTCATCAATAGATGAATTGAGACTATTCCATAAGTGGCTATAAATACTGAAGGATAGCGATTATCCTAAAGAAATTCAAAAAATTTATGAATTCGATTTGGAATATTAATAATAGAAGAATTTTAACTTTGAATCTCCTGGAGATGATGCTGATATTCTATAAATTTCATTTAAGATTTTCTTCTATTGTTGTTTAAAGGAGGCTCTTAAATCATTTATTATTCTTCACCATTATGAGATATCATCTTATCACTAGTGATAAGGTTAACACTATCAAATTAATATTATAATATTGTCGATCCTCTTTAAAAATCAATATTTTTAGATGTAACTTGTTGCTGCTTTAAAAACTATTTACTTTTTATTTGTTATTCTATTTATACATTGAAATCTTCCAAGAATTCTATTTCTATCAAATAATATAAAAAAGATTCTAAATTTTACTCACTGCTATAAGGATGCAAAATCCTTTGGGTAAGAGTAAATTCTATGGGGTAATATTTTGTATTCTAATCCGCTTGCGAATTTTACACCATCATTGCCTATTCAATCACATGGAGAAGTAATTTTTTATTAGTAAGCTTGGATAGTGACATTCGTTTAAGATCTGGTTTTTATTCTGACTTTTGTTATTTATTGGGTTGGATATTGATTTTCATAAGCCCTTTTTCTTTAACAAAAATTACTTCATTTTCTCTCAAAATACCTCCTTGCATCTTTTCGTAGTAATTCTACAAATTTGATTACAATTAGGGAATAATACTAAAAATACTACAATTATTATAAATTTCTTCAGGAGTAATTAATTCAACATCTTAATTCCTTTTGTAATAGTACTTGTAATTTAGTTTTTAATAAAGATTCTGTGTCATTCCAAATATCTTAAACTCTTTATCCAAAAGCAGATGTCCTTTTAAATTTTAATCTTGCTAATTTTGTTAAACTTTAGAAGTCTTTTAAATATGTGCTATCATGTAGAATGACAATTCTCTTAGATTTACTGGAAAAAAATAACTTAAACACAACTTAACTTATTCAATCAGGTTTTTTTTATTTAGAATGAATGCAAGGGAAGAGTTATTTATTCTATCGCTCTGTCCTTTAAAAAAGAAATTTTCAACCAATCCAGAATGCACATTACCTAATTTGCTTGGCATTAAATCTTTTATATGAGTAAATGGTTATCCATCTTCTTCGCTGAATCCAAAAAACTATTTAAATTCAGTAGTTATTTTTTATTCTAATCTGCCTTAGTGTTCTGGACTAATGTTAGAAATTATTGAGAGTGCTGAGCCTGTAAGAAATGATAAATCATTGAAGTTATTGATATTAATATCATATTGATAAGCTGATTCAAGTTCGTTTAGTTGTTATTAAATTTTTAAAGTCAATTTAAGATCTTGGTAAATTATTAAATAATACAACAATTTAATTTTTAATGAGTAGATCGTTTCTTTAGTTTAATTCCTATATTTTTAATATTCTTCAAATTAAATTCGAGATACTTTTTTTAATTTCTAAACCTTCTCAACAGCATTTAATAAATGATCAAAATTAATCAGCTAATTTTTTTGGTAGTCCTCCCATAACTTCTTTTGACAAACAAGGACTTGCTATAAACTTTATATTATTGAATCTCCTAAAGTATACAAAATATTGATATCGGTAATAATGAAGTATTCTTATTGGCTTATCTTAATTTGTTTCAAGGATTAACTCATCAAGTTTACTCTGCATTTTTACCAGATCAAATATAATATAGTACTTGTTACATCAAACTTCTTTTCTTTTTTTTGAAATTATTTTTTAATTTCAATACACTAATAAATAGTTTTGCATGTCAAAACATGATTTTCAAGGTAAAATCTTTGAAATGACAAATAATTGAGGATTATTAAATCATATTCTTGTTAATTATAATATTTAATCTGTTTCCCTCTAAGTTGATTTTTAAAAAGATGTAGAATCCATTTTTTTAAAATAAACTTCTTTTGGGTTTTTTGTTTTCTTGTACCTTTTAACAAAGTAATTCTGTCAATATCTAACACCTAACACTCTTTGCAAGGGCATAAGACATCAAGGCAATTATTTTTATGTATCAATAATTGTATTAAGAGTTCAATGCTTTGGGACTATTCACAAATAAAGTATTCAATAGATTAAACTAAATAACAGTTATTGGATCCAATACAAAATTCTTAGATTATATTTTATATTTTTCTCTTGAGCATGGAATCAACAACGTACCATAATAACTACAATATATCAAAATGTTACTTGACAAGAAATAAAAAAAGTAAAGAAAATAAATTTATCGTTTTCAGACGAAACTCTCCAAACAATTAATAGTAAATTGAAAAGTGCGCTTAATATCGAAATTTGATAAAATAAAATTGATGAGGATGTTAAACCAAAGGCAAATTTCTGAGCAATTCTTAAATGCAATAATATGATCACACAATGAAGCATATGCATTATTATTTATGATTCTTTCTCTTAATATATGATTGATAAAGTAATATAGCAAACTATGAGGGGACTTAACAAGAAAGATTCTATAAAATTATATTTGAGTAAATCAGTTTAGTGGATTTCTCTTTTTTTAAAAAAAAAGGTTGAAGTAATTGAATTAAGTTATACTAAGATTGTGCCTATGATACTTAAAAATAATGTTAGAGAATTATCCTGGGTATTTAACTAACTATTATGGTAGTTTAACCCTATCCACTAGCTTAAAGATTGACTAAAAATAGTTTATAATGGACACAGAAGGATCCAATTAAAATAAAGAAAATAAACTTTAATTATTCTAGATTACTAGGTATAGATTGTTCATATTTTACTTAGAGTTTTAGAATAGAGCAGATAATTACTGCTACTAAAATTACGATTAGAAATAATAGTATAGCCCATAATAGAAAGTCAAGGCTAAAATAATTTACAGCTTCTGTGATAATATTGGCATTAGATAAAATAGTAAACATATATTGGTTTTCTTAAACTATATTTGAATTTCGTTTCTGATCCATTAC